GCCGACCGCCCTGCAGCTCAGGCCACCTGGGCTTCCTTCTTCGCAGGTCTGTCAATTTGGCGCCAACTCGAGCCCGATGGTTTCCCAGGGGCGCTGTTAGGGGATAGGTAGAATTCTTGGGACACCTTGAGGAGCCACTAATATCTTCTTGAAGACCTTATCCGGAGGTGACAAGCCACGTCTCACTTCAGCATTTAAAGCCAACCCGGAACCCCTTCATACCGATCCCTCACACCTACCAATACCCCCAAAAACTTGTGTATGTACTCTCAGTTACTCTTGCTTTATTTACATTCCACTTCCCTATTTCTGTCAATAGTTTCTTCAGTCACTTAGATTCAAAGTAGCCTTGTATCAGAGTGTCTCCTCTGAAGATACCTGTAAGTTACAAAGACGACTGTACTGGAGAGAAATTTAGTAGACATCACTTTAACCAAAGGATCAAAGTTAACATCGCTAGTGATAAGAGATATTCTTGTTAGGTTGCGTCCCTCTCAATATGATGTAATAAGGGCACAAAATCACATCTGGAGTATTCTTGGAAAAAAATGCATAAGCTGAATTAAATCAGGAGGAAGCATTAGAGAAACCCAAAATAAGGAGCAACCTATGAAATAACTGGACAGTATCTTCAAAAAATGGCAATGTCATGAAAGAAAAAAAAAAAGGTGAGGAACTGCCCCAGATTAGAAGAGACTGAGGAGACACGACGACTAAATGTAATGAGTGATCCTAGATTGAGTCTTGGTCCAGAAAAAGGACACCAGTGGGGTAATGAAATTAGAATATAGTGCACAGATTACTTAATAGGATTATCTTAATTCCTAGTTTTGGCAATTGTACTTCCTCAACATTTGAGGAAGTTGACTGAACGGTATACAGGAACTCTCTACCATTTGTGACTCCTGTAAAGCAGAAATTATTTCAAAATATAAAGTTAAAAATTTAAATACAAAATAACATCACCTTAAATTTGTCCCCAAGTATATAACTATAAAAGCCTATATTATTTTTAGAGAACTTTCAGAAAAAGAACCACCTCTATTAGGCTATTCAGCACACTTTGTCTAGTTTCTTTCGGCCCCCAAAGCCTCCAGTTTAAGAGCAAGATGAACAACTGGAAGCCAGGAATGACACAGTTATTCCTTTCTCCTATTAACCGCCTGGGTGTGGGGCTGGGAGGAGTGGGGCAGGGGTGATGGTACTGATTATTTTTCAAATAATCTTCATAACAACTCTATGAAATAGGTAGGGAGGATTTCAGTTTTACACACAAGGCTATTATGGCATAAAGGAGTTAAAAGACTTGCCTTACAAAGGCTAAAAATTGCTCTGTCAGATCTTAAACTCAGGTCTTTGGATTTCAGATTTAGTGTTCTTTTCCTTTTATCAGAAACTTTGGCTTTGCTGTTTTTCTCTTGCTTCTATCCAATTAACTACCAAATAAAGGCAAAAGTTCTTTATATTCAGCAGTTTACAATGATGTTCCTTTCCATTCCCAATGCCTTATAGATCAGTGATTCTCAAACTTGGCTCACATTGAAATAACCTGGGGAGCTTTAATATCCGATGACTTCCTCTTAACTCCAGAGAGTCTAATTGGTCTGGAGTATGGCCTGGACTTCGCAAGTTCTAAGAACATCCCAGGTGATTCCACTGTATGACCAAATTTGAGAACCATTACACTACATAAATAATTGTCGGAAAAAAAGAATGTGGATTATCTAAGGAAAGATGTTCAGAAGATCTGAATGTCAGGACTGAGGCTGGTGAGAAATTGGGGAACCACCAACATATTGATGATAACTAACACTATGGGAATGGACAGCACTGCTTTGGAAGAATATGCCAACTGACAAAGAGAGCTACCAAGAAATTTTGCAACAACGAAGAAAATATGGTTACAGAAATACTTTGAGATGGAAAAGAAGGGAAGCGAGGGAGTTTATGTCAAAGTCGTAGATCAGACTCCTGCAGCCCAGCTCAAGTTCCACCTCCTTATTAAGCCTTTCGGCTCTCCTAGATCTCCTGTGCTTCAACTCCAGTACCACTGTGCACTCGCTACCATGCTGTACACCTTTATCATATCCACCAAAATACTTGGCATAAGACTAAATCCAGGGTTTAGTAATCCTTGTTCACTGTAGGATTATCAAAACAACTTTCCACATTACCAATAAGCGAAGGCTTCTTGGGAAAAATTTGTCTGCCAATTGGTTCCTCATCATTGTGATGGGAGAGAGTTTTTCCTAAGACCAGGCTCTTTCTTAGCCAACCATGGTCCATGAGAAACTATCAGCCAAACTTTGTTTGGCCAGCTCTTCCTCTACCACTTTTTCTTTCTCAACTCTTCAGGTCGTTGTCCTATGAATTCGTAGAAAAACTGTTGGCAAGTGGTCAGCAACTGGACCTTTGAAAAACAGTACCATCACCCCTGCCCCACTCCTCCCAGCCCCACCCCCAGGCGGTTAATAAGAGAAAGGAATAACTGTGTCATTCCTGGCTTCCAGTTGTTCATCTTGCTCTTAAACTGGAGGCTTTGGGGGCCGAAAGAAACTGGACAAAGTGTGCTGAATAGCCTAATAGAATTGGTTCTTTTTCTGAAAGTTCTCTAATGCAGAAAAATTAAATTTTGTGTTTAATTTCTGAAACCTGATGCCTGATTTCCCTTGGCAGCCATTCTCCTGGACTTGGCTGAGAGTCCAGCAACACTAGTATTCTGATTTATACCAGCTCAACTTGCTCCCTGGAGAAGAAGAGTATGATTTACTTGACCATTTTCTTAAATCCTCTTAATTTGCATGCATTTTAGTATGATCTTATTGGCTTTAACATGCTGTATCTCTGACCACTGGCCCCAACGAAGCTTTGGGGAAGCCTGTTCTCTTCTGAGCACTCACATCCCCATTACAAAGCAAGATTTTGTTCTACCCAGTGATTAGACATGACATGTTATGTGTTCTGTTCCTTCTGGGGCAGGCAAATTCTAAGTGTACTTTTTGTCCCTTTCTGGTCTTCAGGCCACTGATAGGGAAGGAGATGATGCTTCCCAGAATTCAAACAGAGCTTGCTGCGCTATTTCTTTCTCCTTTGCAAACTTCCTCCCTTTCTTCCAGGCCCCTTTGGATTGTGACCCCTTGACTCATTCTGCCCCTCCTTTGTAAAGCCCACAGTGATATCAAATAGCATTTCTCTGAGGGGACACAGAGGACTGAGGAAAGGTTGGGCCCAGACAGTCCTGGATAGGGAAGTGTAAACACAGCTGTGGAGATGGGAGCAAACCATCTTCCCTCCCCCCCAACCCCACCCCCGTTCCCACCCAGAAGCAGGGAAAGGCCACCCTGCTATGGGGAAACAAACAACAAAACAAAGCAAAGTACAACCTAAAAGCCTGCAGAAGGTCACCAGAAACTAGGGCTGCTGCCCAGGCCTTGGTGGGGCCAGCTCAAGTGCCAGTCCCCTCCCTGAACACGTCTGAACATTTAGAGGCACAGGCAGTTCCAAAGCAAATCGAGGCCTGGACATTACTGAGCCTGGAAACATGGCTCAATTTTTAAAGCCTCTCCACTCCCAGACACTTTGTCTTCTGATCTCAAAAACACAGCATTCCGCCCCCAGGTACTTAGCTCTTGACCCCTAGTTGCTTAGGGACCATAATAATGCATTCAATTCAGCAAGTAAGAACAGGTCCACAATAAACCTTTGTCCATGACTGTTATAAAGTTTAAACTCTGAGCTTCCAAGCCAAAATATTAGAAAGGGCCTCCTTAGCCTTTGTTAATTACAAAATAAATGATTCCAATAGGAAAGGATTTTCTCTTTGGGGAATTACTTGGGTGGGATCTATGCCTTGCTTTGCACATACTCTATAAGCTCCAACCCCGCAGCTAGGGTGGTGCTGCCCATTTCTCACTCTCTCAGCACAGTTAATATAGGGCCTTGATCCCACCAGACACGCCTTTGGCACAGCCCTGCCTGGGAAGGAGCCTTGACTGGGTGAACAGCTAATGAGCTGTGCTTCCTTTCTGGCCTCAGTCTCCTCAACTGTAAAACTGCAGAACTAGAAAAATGAGAATAGCCTTCAAATACTGACCGTTTGTTATGTGCCTGGCAATGTGCTATGGGTCATCTCATTTTATATGAAGTCAATAATATTCTCATCCTCATCTTACAGTGGAGGAAAGGAGTGCTTATAGGAATTCTGGAACTTGCCCCAAATCACCCAGCTGGTAAATGGTGTGGCCAGGATTTGAGCCCAGTCATACAGATCCCCAAATCCATGCTCTGAACCACTCCACTCTCTACCTCTTCCTTTCTCTGAAATCTAGCTCTGACATCACGATTCTGGATGCTCTCCATGGCTTTCTGCTCTCACCAGTGGTGCCAGAAAAGAGAGATGTGTTTAGGACTCTACTCTGCAAGTCCAGAGGAAAACAATTCCTGAAAGGTAGGGGGCTCCTTACTTCCTTTGTGTTGGAGATGCCAATCAAAGCTGGACACTTGACAGACCCCCATATCAGCAGGCAACAGCCTGTGTGGAAAACAAACAAATTCTAGCCAGACAGGAAAGGGGAGTGCCCCTTGGTTCTGTGACTTCCCCTCTCTATTTCCTGGTTTATCAGCAGGGTCCTGTGTTTCTGTTGTTATGGCCCTTTGAACTGTGGCTAGAATGGGATTCCAGGCTACAGAGACCCTTTTGGAGCAAGAAAAGTACAATACATACATCTACAGATTATATCTATGACACTGTATGTAAAGGAACAGAAGTAAATCATATTTCTTTACATATTTAACAAATTGCCTTTAGCATTCACATAATCATTAGACAGTGGACTGGATGTGAACTTACATCATCTCGTGTAATCTTCGAAAGTTGCCTGGGAGGTAGGTACTGTTATCCCCATTTTACAGAGAAAAACACTGAGGCTTGGGGAGATTTACAACTTTGGTCACGGCCACATGGCTGTTAAGTAGGAGAGCTGGAATTCAAACCCAGGCTAGATTTGTTTGATTGCAGAATCTGTATTCTTTTCAATAAACGGAGTGTTATGTAACAAAAAGAACAAAAATTTAAAACTGGAAAGATCCCAGAATATCGTAGAAATCTAGTTGCCATAACTATATGTGTTACACATTATGATAGTAACTCTCACTTGTCGCGTGCTTGTTAGTGCCAGGCGCTGGACCACTTTACATGCATTATCTCTACTGCTTGGGGAGATACACGCTAGTAACCCCATTTTTGCAGATAAGAAAACAAGCTCAGCAATCATACAAGGTCACATACAGCTAAATAAGTAATGGAGCTGAGATTCAAACTCAAGTCTGCTCGACTCCAGAGTGTATGCTCTTAACCACTAAGGTAACAGAAATAATAATATACATTAACTACAGGCCAAATACTGCTCTAAGTAATTTAAATCTTATAACTTATAGATATTATTATCCCCATTTTACAGATGAGAAAAATATTGCCTTTTATAGTACTACTTAAGCTCACATTCCAAACACTACATGTGTTAAAACACACATGCACTATTAGTGTCATATTTGCTTAACATATCTTGGTTCCTATTACGATCTAAAAAAATGATTTATTTCATAGTGTCATGGGTTTTTTTCATTGTCCATCTAATGCATTAAGGTCTTGGAGGAAAAGATGTGAAAAGGTACTGTCTGTAGGTGAAGCAGACACAGTCAAGAGAGGGGTTGTACTGAGTGGGGAAGGCCCTCTGGCCATAAGGAGCCTTGTCTGGTTTCCCTCCGGCCACTTTTCTGTATCCCTTTCAGTTTGACTCTGTCTAGCACATTGGCTAGCAGGTGAACTTCCATCAGGTATTGTGGAGCAGATGTAAAGTGCCAGGCTTTCAACATCAAGAAGACCTGGGTGTCAATATTAGTTACATGACCTTGGACACATTACTTAATCTTTCTGAGCTTCAGTTTCCTCATCTGTAAAGTGGCTTGATATGTTACCTAATTTAACAGAGTTGCGAGTTTTAAATGAACCACTTTGTATGAAGCATTGAGCCTACTGCCTAGCATCCTCAGAGCATCCTCGTGTTATACAACATCCAGCCTCCTGAAGTGCTGGGAGCGGGGAGAACTGTTCCTGGGGATGGTTTCATAGGACGGTGGAGGAGTGGAGGAAGGGTGAAAGCAATCCAGGCATCTGGCTTTGGGTCCTGAGAGCAACCATGAGTCAGCCTTAAGTGCTGAGGGACCAGCAGTGTTCTCAGTACTTCTGGGCGTGTGCTGTGGTCACTTGGCCATAGTCCTCTTCAGTCACACTGTCTGAACGTTGTTCTTGTAAACTTGGCTGGTTTCTTTTCAGAAAAACAGCCTCCACCATGTGATGGCATGGCCCAGCCTGGGTCAGGGAAGGAGGGATAGTAAGTTGTACACTGAACCTTATTTCTGGAGAGGTCGGTGGTCCTAGAAAAATTTCTATCCTTTTCCCTTCCTTTCAAGACCCAATAATAATCAATACTCTGATTCGGAGTGAGATGGAAGTGATAAATCATAATGGTTAAGACATGAAGCTTAGCATCAAGCAGTTCTGGGTTCAAATTCTGGCTGTCAATTACTACCTCTGGGACCTTGGGCAAACCACTCCTGTTTTCCTATTTCACTCACGGGCAAGATCATTCTGATGTTATGGTGGTAAGGTTTTAAGAAATTTGTGCAAAGTGCTCAGCACATGTGTCAGGAAACACACTGTATAGCACATAGTAATTGTTCAATAAATGGTAGCTACTATTAAGTCCTCAGTAGTTGTTGGGGAATATAACTTAACCATTTTCTATCTTTTTACCAACCTGAGAAAATTTTTTCCAATAACCATTTTTCCCTCTGAGCGATGGTCATGCTCCTCATACCTAATGTGCCATCATTCTGGAGAGGAGAAAGCTGGGGAGACATGGAGTAGATGTGTCCCTACTGCTCTTCTCTCCAGTTTGGAAGGATCAGCCCCACCCAGCCAGAACTTCTGGCTTTCCTGACCCCGATTCTCTCCCACATATTCTCCTGTGCTCTGCTCTTTATTTTGCAGACAGCTGGGGAAGAGACCAGTATGTGTGAATGTCTCTATGTGGGAGGGGTTGAGGGGGGGAGTAGGGGGAAGGCTGAGAATTAGAAATGGCACTTCTTCTGACTGAGTCATCTCTACTCCTACTTCAAGAGAAATGGCCTTTGGCCTGTAATAAGAAGGGAAATATACATGGTAGTAGGATCCCTACCCAGGAAAAGTCAATCCAGGTTGGGGCCAGAAATCTCAGGTCAATGTTCACCTGGACCAGAACCACAAACCTCTGTTCCCAAAAGCACTAAGGTTGGAAGCAAGGTAGGAATAGAGGAATAAGGGAGTATGTAGGGAACTTAAAGACCAGACTCCACTGGATATAAGAAAAAAGATGACCAAAAACAATACTATACTACAGTTAAAAGGAAAGAGGCACATCCATATATGATATCATGGAAAGATGTCCAAGACATACTATTAAGTAAAAAAAGAATCACTGAACAACACGGATATTAAATTAGAACATGGGACTATCTTCTATGGCAACTTGGAAGAGGAAAGTGAGGTCTCCAGTCCCCCTTCAGCCCCAAAGGACTTCCATAGCCGATCCCAAGTTACCAGGATGTTCCCAGGGGTCAACAAAAACATCCAAACATCTAACTGGTAAGGAAAGAAAAAGTGAGAAGAGAAAAATCAAGAGGAGAGAAAATTCCCAGATTTTACAACAGGAGAGTTTAGATTTCCACATTCAGAAATGACTATAACAAGCTTCCCTCTGGAGGTCTCTACATCTCGATGCAAGCTTAACCCCAATCTAGGCTAAAAATCACACTTCCTACCAAGTCACCTATATTTTCCCTTCTGATTCTAAGGTCATTTTGTATATGAGAATGTTGAGCTCCAAAGACATGAAATGGCTTGCCCAGGGTTACACAGCAAGACAGAGGCAGAAACTGCCTTCAGCATCCTAACCAATGTTTATTTGTATCCATTATGCAATACTGCCCTTTTTAAAACCCAACATTTGCTTTTGTCAACTTTAATTTTCATCCCAACCCCAGTCCTAACTCAGAGTGGGCTCAGGTGCTTCTGGCCCCAGGCCAATGGAAATGCTTGGTTTTTCTTTCTGCCTCTCCTTGCTTCCTCCCCACTTTTTATCACCCAGAAATCTTCCTCTTGACCATGTTTTCTTTCTGAAAAGGGCAATCACAAGCGGCAGGGAAGAAATGGATTTTGTCCCTGGCCTGAAGTGGCTCTGAAGCTGCCCAGCTCTTTTCTGCACAGTGCAGAAGATGACCCTCCCTAGGAGGGCTTTGGGGTTCATGCCAAGTGTGCTACCTCCCTTCTCCCTCTGGCTGCCTTACTAAAGCAAACTCCTGACTTTAGCTATGGAAGATGACAGGTTATCAGTCACCATAATTCAAGACTCTAAGATCCTGAGATAAAGATTTTGAAGAGAGATCATGAAAGATGATGAACAGGGATCAGTAAACTTGGACAACAGCAGCAGCTGAGTACAAGGGTCAGTGTCTGGGAGTAATTTAGGAAAGTTTGGTGCTGACAGCTGTGTCTGGAGTTAAATGTCATGGCCAAGTCAGCTCCTGGGCTCCTCCACTTCTTCAGGCGAAATGAAGCTCTGGCTCAAGACTCAAAGACAGCTGTGGTGCGGCAGAAGTCAGGGCTCCTGAGGCCCCAGTACTCAGCCATGCTGCTTGCCAGCCGTGTGACCTTATGCAAGTCCTTAGGAAAGGAAGAAAGGAAAGTAGCATCTACTGAGTGAGTGCAACGCCCTTTCCCATATGTCATCCTCATTACAGTTTAGCGATGAGAGTAATGTCCCTATTTCACTTGGGAGGACACTGAGAATTTGTAATGGTAACTGAAGTCATTCCACGCTACAGAACTGGGGAGTGGGAAGATGTAATTAGGACCCAGAGTTTCTAAACTCAAGTTCTGGGTTCTTTCTCTTGAGCTTTAGCTTCTTTCTCTGTAAAACAGGGATAATAATGTACCCACCTCATGAATGAAGTCACACATTGTGGGTTCTAAACCCCTCCCTTCTCAGGGTTGTGACTACCTTCCATTTGTGAATGAAGTCATCTTACTTTTGCCCCTCCCCCCGTCCTGTTTGTAGGTCTAGGCCCCAAGAGGTACAGCAGAGGGAGGGTATTTAGACTCTGGTTTTCTCTCTACCCATGTCCCCAGGCCTTATACTGACTCTGGAGGGCTGACTCTGTCTTCTCCTCCCGGGTTTTGGCAGGCGGGCTGACATCAGTGGGTGTTCCCAGGGAAAGGGAACTGTGAGCCCAGCTCCAGGCTCCCCTTCCCCCACGGCCAGGACAGCCCTAAACCCCTGCCTTAGATATTGCGGCGTCGAGAGGCCCTCTGAGCTCCCAGACCCCTCCCTCTTCTCCAAGTCCCGGAGAACAGCTCGCTTCTCACCCTACCTTCACCCCTGTCCACCTCCCCATGAAAGAGAATCCCGAGAGAGGATACTCGAAGACCTTGGCGAGTCCCAGGCGCCACTTTGCCGAGCCTAGGAAATGGATCCCGGTTCTGGGGTTACGAGGGGAGCTGTCCAGCCCCTCAGGGTGAGCTAGAAGAAAGGGTGGGCCATCGCCGGTGAGGAGGAGGGAGCGGCGAGCGCCAGGGCCGGGTGGGGCTGCTACTCCTCCAACAACCCGCGGGCTCCGGGCGTCGCCCCCGCCCCCCACGTGGCCGTCGCCGTTCCAGCCCCTGCGAGGAAGCGGTGCGCTTCCTGCGGCTGGGGCCGGGGATATAGGCGCCCCCGCCCCTCTTTGCCTGCTCGCCGCGCTATGGCCTCGCTCCGGGCAGAGAGCGCCGGTGGCGGCCCACGGCTCCCGGCGACCCGCGCCGGGCGACCCACAGCGCTCCGCCTCCTCCTTCTGCTGGGCGGTGAGCGCGGCGCCCCCGAGCCGGGTGGGAAGCGTGAGAGGCCCCGGAGGGGAGGGGGGCTGGACAGCCGAGGCTGGAACGGCTCCGGGCTAGGGGTGCCGACAGCGCTGTCCTTCGGACAGTCCCTGGCCCCAGCTCGGTGAGGGCGCAGAGCTAGCTGCTTACCGTTTGGGGAAAGCTGGGGCTCCAGGGCTCCGCGGAGGGGTCTTGGGAGGTCTAGTACTGGCGACGAGGGAGGGGAATGGGGGTCTGAATGTGAGTAGAAAGGAGCTGGTACCAGGCCTTCTCTTCCAGGCGCTGAGGCACCCTGTGGGTGGATTATTCCTCCTTCTCTTGTGAGAGTAGCTCTGGCTACTAAGGGTCGCGTTCGCCAGCCCGCACCCATCCTCCAGGCTCCACTACTCAGATCCCAGCCATCTCAACTCCTCTCCCATTTCTGCCCACAGCCGTCCTAAAGCCACAGGAGTCCCTGGCTCAGCTTCTTACCACCCCAGGCAGCTTGGTGTCACAAGGTGAGTAGCCAGCAGCTGTGGGAGGATGGCCTGGGGCAAGAGGAGAGGCAAGTAAGTGGGGAGGGTCCCTTTCCCACAAGGCAAGCCTCCAGCCCAACTGGTGCCCCTCTCTATTCTGTTTTGGGGTTGTTTGTATCTTTCCTCCTCTTATTCCACAAAACCCCCACCCAACTGCGAGCTGGTCCACCTCACAGGTGGGTTAGAAGACCCCAGAAAAAGTGTATATGGAAACTCTTGTCAGACTGGGAAGTACTGTGTGCCTGGAAGGCATTAAAATTTTCCTGATCTGGGACTATCTCCTCAGCCAGAAGTGTCTTGCTTGGGAAAATTTCTGAGGCTCTCCTGGCAGTTCCCATGGTTGAAGACAGGGACAGTAGTCCTTCACTGGAAGTTCCTGGACCAGAGGGCTTGAAGGGAGGGGCAGGGTGTGGTCAATGTGCAGCATCTGTGCCCACAGAGAAAATGATGGAGGAGAATTATAAGGAAAATGTCCAACTTTGCTGGCAAGACTATAAGATTCAAATGGACTCTATCGAAAAAGACTGGTGTGACTGGGCCATAATTAGCAGGTACGGGCAGTGCTGAAGGGTGGTTTGGGCCCGGGGTGGGGTCTGCTCCTTGTGGGTGGGCCTTGAGTGAATGTGGGGCACTCCTTTCTCTGGGCCCAAGCCCTTCCTTATTCTAGTCTTCTCCTGCCCCCAGGCCTTATAGCTCACTGCAGAATTGCTTGGAACAGAAAGCAGAATTATTTGGCGTGGGCTTCCCCAATACCTGGGCAGAACAGGTCATCCTTGAGACTCACCAGATCCACTTTGCCAACTGCTCCTTGGTGCAGCCCACCTTCACAGACCCCCCAGAAGATGTGCTCTTGGCCATGATCATAGCCCCCATCTGCCTCATCCCATTTCTCGTCACCCTTGTGGTATGGAGGAGTAAAGACGGTGAAGCCCAGACCTAGGGTGGCATGAGTTTTCTCAGCAGCCATCTTGCTCCTTTCCCCTGCCCCCGCCAGGTCTCTCTCCTCCTCTCCCTACCTCCTTTTTTCACTCCTACCCCTACTGCAGATCTTTAGATTGGTGGAAATGGGAGCTGGGTGGGGTCATGGCACAAGTTCTGTAATCTTCAAAATAAAAGATTTGTTTTGTACACTGTCCTCCTCCCCATCCCAATGGGGCCTGTGTTCTACCCAGAGTCTCTGTCATTTCCATAGGCAGCTGGCCTGGAAGAATCTAGATAGCCCCACTGTTTTGTTCACTTACTTGCCCCCTACAGTCCTCCGGCTCCCCCACCTGAAGGCCACACTCCTACACTCCTTCCTCTCAAGGCGGGGCCTTTCCTGCCCCTATCCAAACCCAGCTCCAGGAAACATGCAGGAAGAGACTCCCTTCCGGTCTGGACAGCAACTGGAGGTATGGGGGGTAGGAGCAAGGGAGAACTCTGCTGTGACTCCTGCAAGAAAGAAGGGGGGCCACCCAGGAGCCCTGAATGTTCCCCTTCTTGGCGCCTTAGTTTATTCCCAGAGCCTGGGAATAGGAACCCTGATCCGACCAACTAGAGTCTATCCCTAAAGACCTCAGGATTGAAAGTAAAGGCAGTGGGGGTTCCTCCCGGTACTAGGTTCATTACAGGACTCCCCATCCAGGTCCCTGGCCCTCTTCCTATATTGTCCTGGGCCCCAGCGGGGTGTGGTCTACAGCTTAGCCACACACTGCCCCCTGGTGTCCGCTAAAGCCAAAAAACAGAAGATGGATGTGAGGTGGAAGCTCAAAACTGAGGAGATTGGACATTGCAGTCAGAGACTTGCCATCTCTATAGCAACCACTAATTCTATCAGCTTCCCGAGTCATACTTACGCTCCCTTAAGACACTTTCACATTGTTGACATAAGAAATGTCTAAACCTGTAGAGAATTTTTATGAGTTTATTTGAGCCCAAAGTGACAACATATGCCAGTGAGCAAGATCTCAAATGCTCTAGAGGAAAACAGTTTTGCAGTTTCTTTTATGCATTTGAAATTAAAGAGGAAGCATAGGAAGATCACGTGAATGTGGGAGAAAGCAAGGTGGGGATTGGATTATAGGATAGTTAAGATTATTTGCTCTCTTGAGGGTAGTCATGTCTTAGAAGGAGGAATCTGAAAAGAGGCATTTCAAAGGTGTGTTAACCTAGAGGCAAAGAAACAATTGACAGGGCTTGCTTAAGGCAAACATGAACCTTTTATTAAGAATTTATATGCCCGGGGCGTGACTACCCACCATGACCTGCCCAATTAGGGATTTATGATTTATTACAGCACCACTTTTTTTTTCTAGACCACTTCCTTGGGACACACCTAGTCTCTGTGACTCACCATTTTGGTATAAGAACACTCCTGTATATCCCCAGGACAGTAAGGCCCAGTTCTCATCATGAACCTTTGCCTCTAGTTCTCCCTGGGACAAACTTGTCAGGTCATCAAAAACATCTAGAGAACAACTTTGTTCTCCATATAGACACCTGTTTATTCCTTGGGGCATCTGAAGGCTTCTTCAAGAATTTTCCTTTCCTCCTTGTTGAGATAACTGCCTCCCTGAGTATATGCATAGCCATTTCCTAGACATGCCTATATATTATATATGTGTGCATGTGTGCGTGCGCACGTGCGCTTCTTGGGATATATGTATTCATTCTCAGAGACACACTTCTCACAGGACATATCTATCTCTCTAGAGACCTACCTGTTCCCTAAGACATTTTGAGTTTCACCTGAGATAAATCTTTGCTCCATTTCTATTAATGCATATGCCTTCTCCAAGGATATATTTATCCTTTCCTTGGACCATATTTGCTTTCATGTATTTTACTAACATACAAAGGCATGTTGGTATAAGATACTGTGAATGGTATATTGTGTTTGAAAGATAAGTTTGGTTTCTGCTCTCAATGGCTTTCATCTAGTAGCAGAGCCCTCATGTGCAAATAAAAACAATGGAGTGTGTGATGAGAATCATGCAAGGGATGCAAACCAAATGTTATCTGAGTGCAAAGGAAGGGAGAGTCACATCTAGCTGAAGTGTGATAACAGGAGGTAAGATTACAGCAGGGCGATTGTGGAGTTCTACATAAATAGGCCTTAGATGGAGTGCATTCACCTTGGGGAGAGTATAGAAAGGGATATGAATTAAGAAATTATTGCAATAATCCAGGCTTGAGAAAATGAGTACATGGACCAAAACAGTGACGAATGCGGAAATGAAAAATAATTTAAAAGTGGGAGAGATCATTAAAAACAGGAGAGGGAATCAGCGGGATTTGGATATGAAGGAGGTGACAGAGATAAGAGGTTAGAGCTGACTCAGGCTTTGAACCTGAGTTACTAGGAAAAGATGAAAGTAATAACGGCAAAGGGCCATTAGCAGGAGGAGCTGGCCTGAAGAAAATGATATACAATATGAGGTAACAATGGAGCAAGTTGTTATGTTCCTCAGAGAGTTAGAAATGGGGTGGTGGTGGTGATAGTGGTGGAAAGAGGGTGGAGCTAGAAATACAGGTTAGGAGTATTCTGCACAGAAATGTCATGTGAAGCCATTAAAAGGATAAGAGTGCTAAGAGAGGTATATTGAACAGAAAATGGCTGACGTGAGGTTCTTAGGAAACACCCACATTTAAAGAATGAGGGAAAAAGGAGACAAAGGGAAAGATCAGAGAGATAGTAGCAGAACAGGGATAAAGCAGTGCCATAGAAGCAAAGGAGATGGTGCCCTGTGAGAGAACATTATTAATTGAATGATTCATTCGATTATGCAATGAATATTTGTTGGGCACTTCTGTGGACCAGGAACTAAGCACAATGAGAGATGGACTTGGGTGGAGGAGATGTTAAGAGATCAGACAGGAAATGAGAGGATAGCAATGTCAAGGAAACTACGTATTTTCAAATAGGGCTGACCTCAGCATGTTTGTAGACTAGGAGAGAGAAGCCAAGAGAATGGGAAAGAGGGAAACGGATACACAGAGAAATCCTGGAGGAAGGTGGAAAGGAGAGGCAAGAAGATGTGCCAAAGGGTTGGCCTTGTAAAAGAAGAGTTACACTTCTTCTTCTGAGTCCAAAAAGAAGAAGTAAAAGTGGAGAGGAATTTTTGAGGGATGAATCGAATGTGACAGAAGGAGAGGAAAAGATTAAGAGGTTTACATGCATGACCTCAATTTCATAAGATAGAAGGGAAGGACATTCTACAGAGAGGCGGGAGATAGGGACAGGTGGAATAGCTTGACGAGTGTGGAAAAATTTGAAGAATTTCCTTGATAAATATGATAGGGAGTCAATAAAAGACAAAAGGTTGCTGGGCTGCACTGATTGCCCTGCAGTTAGGTTAGGGAACTGGAGCTCAGTCAGTATGTTCTGGTGATTTTTTTTTTTTTTCCAGTAATACTCCCCTAACAAGGAATGAAAAAGGGGGAATGGTGGGCAGGAAGCAACAGCCCTGGTTTGGGAACTGACCAGCAGGTAGGTAGGCAAGGGACAGAACTGAATAGTATAGGCTGGGTAAGGAGTCAAATAGACCAAAAGTCTGGAACTTGATACTAGGCATGTGAGGACGTGGGAGAGATGTGAGATAGATGGCTGTGATCAAAGATGATAGCTCTGGGTCCCTCTCACTCTCTGCCTCTGTGGAGTGTTATCCTTTTTCTAATAAACTTTCCTTTTGACTCTAATTTTGGCGTATGTGTTGAATTCTTTCTACACTCTCTGCCAAAACAAAACAAAACAAAACCCCTCTTCTTTTCTCAGTGGAGGGATTGGTCTCCTCCGCACTCGGGAAAATTTGCCCTGTCCTGCATCATCTTTTCTGGCGACCACAAAGAGACCAAAGGACATAAACTCATCCCACTCAAGCTCACCATGGCTCTTCTCATCTGAGAGAGACTGGGATTTACTCCGCTATGCTGTGCAGATCTATTGGCCTTGGGCAAATGGTTGACACTGTTTCTAGGGGGCTGGTGAGAGACTCGTTCTCTAACTTAGCAGGAGTCCACCGGTCCTGTCTACTTTTCCAGCTTTTCTTCCTCTAACTTCTCTGACTCAGTGTCATCACCATTGGAATTGCAGAGAAGACCTGCTCAGGGATCCCGTCAAAACTCCAAATTAAAAGGCTGCAGCACCTTTGGGCCACAACAGGACGGGCTGCAAGGCTTCCTGCTACTTCCAGATGCTGGAACAACCTCACATTCTCTGCCTTCGGGGCCCTTAGAATAAACTTTCAGACATTTTTATTCCCAGTAAGCAGGGACTATAGCCCTATCTGAGCTTTGAAGCTACAGCAGACAGACCTTCATCCCTCAACATCCCAGAAAAAAATATCTAAGTGGGGAATAATGTAGGGAGGAGGCAAGAGAATTAAAAGGGTAATCAAGCTACATTAAGACACTGCAATATGTTGATCAGCTTGACAGCCAGGCCAGGGAGGACACCTTCAGAACAAAGGAAGATTTCTGCTGCAACAGCTAACAACTCATTTCCCCACACCCCCGTGGAAGGGGAAACTAGAACAACAGAGTCTTTAAGTGGGACCTACACCAATTAAATCGTTCATTCCCTATGGCTAAAACCACGGGGAACCTATGGATTAAAGGCTAAGAACTGCCAGCTCACCTTTTCAGGCTACATACTCTTCTCCTATCCCCTTCCTCACTGTATGTCCATATAGAAGGAAATGGGAACTAAGAATGATATATAAACTGAATTCTCTGAATATTTAGGGTCCCTCTCACTCTCTGCCTCTGGAAGGATACCACACTCTGTGCGTGGAGTGTTATCCCTTTTCTAAGAAACTTTCTTTTTGGCTCTCAGAGGGAAAAAAAAAATTGTATCTCTGAATCTTGGAAATGGAGCTGTTTTCAGCGATAAAGACTACAAATGTGCTCCCACTGGTGCTGAAGGAGACTGAGGAATGGTGGAGTCGAAAAACATAGGAATTGAGGATATTGAGGAATTTTAAGGCATTAAATTAAAGTTGCAACTGATACAAATGTTAATATGAAAAGAAGCCTAGCATAGTGGACAAGCCTAGGCTAGGGTCTGGAGACCTGGGGTTCTACTTGAATTTCTACAAACTATGTCGCTTTTGGGAAGTCACTGCCCTTCTCTGAGGTTGAATCAGAAGACT